GCGCTTGTGTGTCTGCCAACTTTGGTAACTTAGCAACGTAGACACGTGCGGGACCACTGTTTAATGTCAGCTGTCATGCCGGGCCAGATAAATCTGTCTGATATGGTCCGCAACGTTGCCTTGCCTCCTGAATGTGCTTGCGAGTGGAAATGATAAAACATGAGACGGTGCATAGAGGGTGGTATATATGGACGCGGATTACCGGTACTGGTATCGCAGTAGACCGATCTGCTCGTAAATGGAAGCGGTCGTTTTTCAATGTTTAAAGAAGTATCCGACCGGACGGCTTGAAAAGTTTCATCTTTCATCTGTTCGTCTGCTAGGTTGTCAAAATTAAGTGTTGTATTTTGAATTGTACTGAGTGTTGTTCGAGATTGTGCGTCGGCCACAGTGTTGCTGGTTCCACTAATGTAACGAATGTCAAATGAGAATTGCGATATATAGTCCATGTAACGAATATCGCGCGGACTGTGTTTATCAGACTTGGTGTGCAGGGCGTACGTTACTGATTTATGGTCAGTAAAGATGGAAAAGTCACGTCCTTTCAAAATATGCCGGTAATGTTTGATGGCTAAATAAATTGCCAACAGTTCACGGGAGAAGGTGTTGCAGACTGGTGAATGTGTTTAAATTGATCAGAAGGAATTTCGAGGTCGTGTTCTTGAACATTCGTCCACAACAATTATTTAGAACAAATACTTGGAACACATCATGCAAATAAAGTTGAAAACAAGACAAAAGTTGAATGCATATAACTAACATAAATTTACAATTTAATATACAGTGGATTTAAGATTTAATGGATAAATGAGGATTAGTGTATTTAATTGTGTATTATGTTTTATTGTGAATGTTTGGATGCGTTTGCAGGTGTTGATTGGATTTGTTCCCAAAATTAAACTGCTTGTTTGATCACGTACAAAAAAATGTTCGTTAGTGTGTGTACGTAAATGTGTTTATAAATATTCAAAGTTGTTCAAAGTTGCGTACCTTTAACTGCTTGAGAAAAATAGATTGTTACTTACTGATACTTGTTATGTAGTGAGGAATATCACTTTGAAAGTATAGTAAGTGAAGTTTGAGAAATGTTCTAGAGAGAGATAGAGTGTGCCCGAAGGTTGCTGAGTCAGAGAATATTTTGCGCGGCAAAGTCAGAGTTTTGACTGGCGTGGAATTGATGGGCATCTCTCTAGGTGTGGAGGTCTGACGATATTTACTACTGTAAAAATCACAGCAAATGTGGCACAAGGCCAAAAAAGTGGGTTGGGGAAAAGGACGGTCATCATTTGTCTTAATTTAAAACTTAGCTAGCCACAACCACTGGCCTATCATACAAAACAATATTCCTTTCACCAAAACAACACATTAATCCATACCTTTCTTACTACATCAACCTTTGGTTGATGTAGTACCTCTTTGTCTCAATGAAAATCCTAAAAGGTCCCCTTATGTACAAATATTGTCTGTGGGGGGAGGGGCATAAAAACAACAATTTTAAAAGATCCCCAATGATTATGTACAATATGACTTATAATACATTTACAAGAAACTAAACAAAAAGTTGTTAGTAATAAAAAAACCCACAAACCTTAAATGTGGCAGAAATATCAGTTAACCGGACGAAATCGATGCGGGACTATTCCTCCAAAGCATTCACACAGGCACACACTCATTCACACACAAAAACAAATACGAAAAACACACACGCGAAACGAAAGGCGCCCCGCATCCACCAGAGAACTGACATCACTAACCACCTAACGAGAGAGGGGATGGGGAGTTAAACTAAAGGAAAATAAAGGGGACAGAAATAAAAGAGGCCATTGAGCAAACACACCCTAGCTAAGTTTACCGAAAAAGGAAAGAAAAACTAAAAAATCAAATACAAAAACCTAATCTAGCCTAAATCCAGGGAAGGGTTGCCCAAGTTCAACCCAGGAAAACAATATCCTGATGCCAAACCGGCATCAAAATGCCACTCCAGGTCAGCCCCTTTTAGTCTGCACATACGCGCAATATTCACCCACCTTTTGCCAAATTCTGATGAGGTGAGCCGCCGCCTTTCCGTCCTAATCTTGACTTTAACCTGATGCTTAAAGAACAAGATCAGTTGGGAAAAAGTGAACCTCTCGCCCTCATAGAATCCCTTCTGACGCGTAGTCCAAATCACGACTCTCATAACACCTAGTAAGCAAAAGAACACATAGTGTTCAGCCTTCGTCATCTGCGGTACCACATTGCTACAAACAGAACTGGCCTCAAGGACAAAAAACTTTCCTTGCAGCATGCGAACCATGAGGCCTTCAACAAACTTGCACAAAGGCACTACCATCTTGCAATGAAAGAAGGCGTGACCAATGGTCTCGACTTCCCCAGTACAGTGACGGCAGTTTGGATATTTCTCCAAGCCTGCTGAACAAAGTCTTTTGGCGACCCAGAGGTCCGCACGAATCACCAGCCAGGTGGTGATGCCTCATCGTTATTGAGGGCATTTTCAGCCCAGGCGCCCAAGGCCATATTGAGCGAGCCTCCTGCTTCGTAAGACCGAGCTCGTCAATTAGATCATCCTGAACGCCCCCTTCCGAATAACAGTTGATACAATGCCCTACGAGACAACGCCCAGGGATTGGAGAGGCCATCCGACGCCCGTAAGAGGTGTTTCAGATCACGACGACATTTGCGGTAGAAGGAGCATTCGGTTCGGGGTGTACGGCCGGCCTCCTACTCGCAAGAGTGCACACTTCTCAGGGATGGGAAATGTTTACGGACGTCTTCCTTCCAGAAGGCGCCATCCTCATTCGATCCGCGACATATTCGGTCCTGAAAGTTGATGCGAAGCATATATTGACGAATCTCAAAGCTAGGCATACCCAGACCGCGTTCGCAACAGATATCGCGAGATACCATAGCGGCCTTGTCTCTCCACAAGAAAGAGACCAAGAGCCTTACTAATAATATTAGTCTGGTATACGGGAGTGGAAGTACAGAGAGTCGGTAAAGGAGAATCGGGTAGATGTGTGAAACACATACTTCCGCCCTCCCCTTCAAGGAAAGCCTCCTCCGAGACCACAGATTAACCGCGATCTCGGCCTCCCCTTGTACCTCCGACCAATTCATTTCCAACTGGAGATCAGGACCGAACCAGACGCCGAGTATCTTGATCGGCCCATTCGTCCAGATGAAAGGTCCGGGAAGAGAAACTCCCTTCCACGCACCCAACCGCAAGCCAACAGACTTGTCGCGGTTGATCTTGGTCCCTGTCTCATACCCACTGATCTCTTTGCTGACTTCGTCAATCTCGGATCTGCTCGACACAAGAACCAAAACGTCGTCAGCATAGGCAGAATACCTGGCTGAGGTGGTAGCCCCAGGCAGGGAAATTCCGCGTAGGACCGGATTCGCCTTTAACCTCGCACCTAGCCACTTCAGCCGCCTCGAGGCAGGGAAAGTCGGCTAAATAGGCGTCGAACTGAGCACAGCTCAGACCAGGCTCCCTGGTGAAAAGATCTTGAAAGTAATCCCGAAAGGCATCGCATATGCCCGCGTTTGTAGTCACGGTCCGCTTATCCGGCAATGGGACGCACGCGATATGTCGCCTAGACGCGTTTCGATTTTCCTCTGCACGCAATTCAGCGGCCATATTCGTCGCCTCAGAAGACATTCTTTTAAACCTAGCCCTAACTACCAGAACTTGATCCTTCTTGATAAGCAAGGAGGACAACTCTGCCTTAGCTAAGGCTATTTTCCCACTATCACGGGATTTCACAGCCCGATCAACTTTATGTTCTAAAGCCGTTTGCGCCGCTAATCTATCTAGATTGAGTCGACGACTAAAATCGGCAGCAAACGTTCTAATTTTGGATTTTAATTTGTCCCACCAGGCATTACCTAAAAACCTCTGTATCATTAGTAGCAACTGCTCCCGGAAATCCTGCTCACCAAATAATGAACAGTTAAATTTCCAGTAACCAGCCAACCTAACCTTAGGCATATCTAAGTTTACGCGGACCCGAACAAGCCTATGATCCGAAAAAACTATATAATGGAAGCTTGGACACCCTAAGAGCCCTACATCGGATTTTGCCCTATGCGATCTATATCGGGGTCAAGGACGGCATTCCAATCTCCGGCTAAAACAACCCGACGATATGTCGTCAAGAACGGCCCGATCTGCCGAAACAAAGCAGGCCGCTCAGAATGGCTTATTGGACGCATAAACCTGAATGAGACGTAGAGCCTTATCCTTTATAGTAACATCCAGCACGCAAAGCCTGCCCGCCGGATCTGCGAAGACAAGAGTACATGCAACCTTCAAAGACTTGCTCACTAGCCAAGAGACACCCCTCGAACGACCATCAAAACATGCTGAATAAAGGGAGAACCCCTTAGACAGTATGTCCTCACAGTCATAAGAAGAAAACCGGGTCTCTTGCACACAACAAACATTCACCCCGAAGCGCTGAAGGTCACGACAGAGCCTCGCCCTGCGAGACTCGGACCTCAGGCCCCGGACATTTACACTTGCTAACCAGAGAGCCATAGTGAAGACCGATTAGGGTTGCTTTCCTGAATTGAACATGGCCGGGGTAAGGATACCGACAGCCTCCCTTATAGACTCATGGCTAATCCCAGTCTTGATGGTACTGTCATGGGAGATTCCGCCGATATCCCAGGGGAAGGTCAGTTTTAGTGCTCTATAAAGGGAGAGGTGAACAAAAACCAGGACCCTCCCTGCTCAAAATTGTTTCAATTTATTTAATTTATCGTTTTGTACGATAGCAATGAACAAAGAAATTGCTTCGTCCTTTAACCTTCGTCTTTATTCCCAAATTGTTTAATGGATAATAGGTACTTTAATTTTTGATTCTGTTACCATAGTCTCTGGCTTTCTCCGCTTGCAAAGAGGAAATTTTGCAAACGTCTACACCCGGATTATAAATGTGCTTTGGGTTTTTTCTTTTTTTCAACTGAATCCTGCGTGGGGCTTCTGAGTCTATTGTTTAGAGGAGAGGGCATTTCAGAGGATTTAATGGGAGAAGGACTGGGGGTGTGGCGGGGAGTATATGATTGTCTAAAAGGGCTGAGGTCTCTACTGAGAGGGATTTGGGACTGGGCAGAAGAAGTGGAAGGAGAGGTAGGTGAGGATGTGGAGGGAGTGGCCTTCTTTGTAGAGGAGGACTTTTGGTTGATGGGATGTAGAGGGCTGAGGAAACTGTAGTGATTTTAGGAGGAAGAGAGTTATATGATGGAGAGGTTTTTCCTTTTCGTTGTTGATCTAATTTATTCTTTAGGTCCTTAATTTTTTCTGCTTTCTCATATCCTGGGTCATAATGTAAGTGCTTTTAGTCCTATGGGCTTCAGGGGACTGAGGACCCGCTGTCTGACGCTTCCCTCTGGCTCTGCCAACTACCTGTCATTCCCCCTCTTCCCACTTCTCAAATACACTTGTAGTGAAAGAAAGCTCTTCGGGGAATGGTGGCTTTGGAGATAACCCAACCGGGGGTATGACCACTCCGGTTAGCCCGGTAGCCGGCATGCCCATTACAGGCGTGGCGGTTTTTAAAGACTCGGCCAGAGGGGGAGTTTGGTGATTGGGGCCTTACTTCTAGAGGCCTTCTTCTCTGGACAGGAAGAGGAGAGGTGACCAATCACTCTGCACTTCCGGTCACTATGACCGGCAGCTTCATGCCACTAACATCAAGACAGTTGGGGATGGAGCCGAACGCCTTATGATCGAGCATGATATCGAAGCTCCATCCCCCAGTCAGGCTATCGAAAGAAGCACCCAGAATCTCGCCGTACTGGGCAAAGAAAGCCGCTAGGTGCTCTCCGAGAACCCTGAGGAGGGACCTCATATACTGCTATAGGGTCCTTCGCCGGCCCTCGTACTCTGTACGAAGAATCAAGTCTTTCGTTATTAACTCCCTGCTTGAGGCTCTTACGCAGTCTTCGGCGGTGGGTAGCAGCACGTCCCACATAAAAAAGCCCTTGTCCTTAACGATTCGCGTCGAACGACAAATTTTGCGCGAACGCTTGTCGACGACAAAAACTGACACTATTCTTTTCTCGATAGTCAAACAGGAGCCAGGAATAGTAGGCGAAAGAGAGAGAGAAGAGGAAAGTTTCCAACTATCGTCAAGTTGGCAGACAAAAAAAAATGGGAGCGTAATTTAATACGCAGCCCGGTGATCGACGATCCTGGCCAACGAAGGCCAAGGGCCTGCGTATCCGACCGTTTCAGTCGCCGACCGTGAATTTAGTGAGAAGTCACTGTCTTGTGGTAAGGGAGACCAGCAAGAGAATTGGATAAGCTAACAGTAAAGTCTCTATAATAAAATACGTCGAGGTTAGCTAAAGGGAACTATGGCCTAAAAAATGTCTATATTACAACTAGGTTTGTAATATGGGGTTTTTTTAACTAAAAGGAACTTGCTAGTCTCTACCACAAGTTAACAGTGTATAGGGAGCACGAATGAGAGGTCAAGGTCGAAATGACCTGTTCCTCTGCCGGTTTAAGGATCGAAGGACGAGGTAACTCCGACAGTCTGAGCGTTTAGGAGTCTGTAGTCTCCACACGGTCTCCAGCTATCAGCATCGTTCTTAGGGACCATATGTAGCTGCGTGGCATAAGGACTAGAAGATGGTCTTACTCTTATTATGCCCAGCGTGAGCATTTTCTCAAACTCCTCCTTAGCCACCCGCAGCTTAGTTGGGTGTAAACGACGGGGTGAAGCGTGGACTGGGGATCTGGTTGTTTTGATTACAGGTTCCGCATGTGTGAAAGGTGATAAGAGAGACTTGTACTGCTTAAGCAAGTCTTCGCAACCGTTTGCACTAGGTATAAGCGCAGTTAGTCCAACTGTGGAAAGTCTGGATAATACTCCGCGTCGTTGTATATCCGTGCGCATATCAGTAAGTGTATGAGACGATAATTCAACAGAAAAATCGAAGTGTGCAAGGAAATCTGCCCCTAAAATGGGTATATCGACATCAGCTATCGTGAAGGTCCATGTGAATTCTCTCCGTAGGCCGATGCTTAGAGACATAACACGCTCACCATACGTGTTAATAGACGTGCCGTTCACTGCCTGTAATTTCAGTCGAGCTTCTTTGGGTATTATTGATAACTTGTTACGATAGCTCAGCGCTATAACGCTGATCTGAGCTCCTGTATCGACTAGAAATTTTAACTTGCTGTTGCTGTCGAATACGTAAAATAGGCGATTTCCATTATCTGCCTTGGCAGCCAACGTGTTCAATGGGTGCCAGGCTGGTCGTTTCCCGCGTTTTGATAAGCACATGGTGACTGACATTTCTTAGCGCGGGCGCCAAACACTTCATGGTACCAGCAATAGCCTTTCTGGCGGTGACGAGGTTGTCTTGACAATGATCGTCGTCGGTTAGCGTTGTGCCGGGTAGTTGAATTGTTGCGACTCCTTCTGGGTATACTTTGAATTTTGTCGAGACGTAAGGAAAGCTTCCTTAGCTCTGACATCAAAAATTGGAGTTGCTGGTTAACATCTGGAATCGGGTCATCTGATGGCATGACAGAGGAAATTTGACGAGTTGGTCTTGTGTCTACTATTTTATCAGCGATCGATGATAGCTTGCGAACATAGACCTCTTCAGTCAAGATGGCTAATATCTGTACTATATCAAGCTGCAATTTCTCCAGCCACATTTGCTTCAACATTGTCTCGGATATAGTGTTGTCGCCGAGTAACGTTATCATTTTTCGCAGAAATTGGGACGGTTTGCTGTTTCCGAGCGTGACATTAGTCAGAAGATCCTTGATCTTACGCTCTTCTGAACATCCCGTTCGCTGTAAAATAGTCTGCCTGAGCACTTCATAAGGCTTTTCGGGCAGGAGACTGGTAAGAATACCCGATACCTCAGCAGCTACTTCCACAGGAAGCTTCTCTACCACGAACGCGAATTTCGATTGTTGGGACGTTATGTGTCTGGCTTGAAAAATCGCGTCGAGCTGAATAAACCAAGTCTGAGCATTTGCATTGTAGGTAGGGAGTTCTAATCTCAGTGCAGCTTCAGTTGGTGGTATTGGTTCTGTCATGTCGACTGAGGTTTTCAGAACAATGTGGTAATCAATTTGTTATAATACAAATGTCGGCGTTATTAATCTTCCTTGAGACAAAGGTTGGCGATTTTGTTGAGGTAAACGTCAGCGGTTACCAATTTTTGTTGGTATAAGCGTCGTGGTCATCAATTTTGTTGGTCGTTGTTAACTTGAACGTCGGAATGATCAATTTTTATTGGGAACGTTGAACATCGAACGTCAGGGTCATCAATTTTGTTGGAATTGTTATGAGTTTAAATTTGTTATCAGAAGGTTTTTATATTAAGATGGTTAGTTTACGGGCATGTTCACCATATTAATCCATAACAATATAGAATAGGCATTCAAAAACGAATCAATCACAAGGCAATTGATTGAGTAAGAAACACCGGTAATTAAGATTCAATAAAAACAACATGCATTTATGTACAATTAATTAGAGAACTTGTGGTTTGATAATGCAAGAAATTGACCATATATAAATTGGGTGTCTGATTGATTTACAGTTCAAAAATTGTTCAAGTGTTAAAGAACTGGTCAAACAGAGTAAAATGGAAAATATTATTTATACAGAAATTTGTGTAGTTTGTATGCGTGAATAAAGTAGAGTATAATTGTCTAAATTTTCCAGAGTTGTTTACCTTGGATTGTTCTGTGTTTGTCTTTTGTTAAAATACAATTTCTATTTTAGTAGTGTGTAAGAAGAACAATTTTCTTAGAAAGTTGTAAGTGAAATGTGAGAGATTATGTTGATGTTTGAGTCAGCAGTTGACACGCGAAAAAGTATCTTAAGTCAAAATAGTGACACGCGTGGATTCGTGTGACATCTCTCTGAAGTTTAATGACTGACGATATTTATTGTGCAAAATACACAATTACGGCACAAGGCCAAAAATGGGGAGGGGTTGAGGCTGGTCTTCACTAACTATCTTATACCTAGCTAATCCGATTCACGACCCATTGATACATACAATTTCCACATTCACCATAAGAATTCGTCCGTCACCAATCAATCCTCCATGCACCATGATACCACATCCTCTCTAGGGGGACCTACAAAACGCGCCCCATACCATAAAAATTTCATGATGATAAATAATATACTTAAAATTCTAATAATGAAAAATGAGAGGGGAGGGCGATGAACCCATTAATAAACTAAATATCAACACAAATCGAATTAAACATAACTGATGTTAGTAGGGCCCTTCCATCCCTCAAAAATGAGAGGCCGCTGTATTCTTCCCATTAGGACAAAATCAAGAAGCTCTCTCGCTAAGGGAGTGGGAAAAAGGATAAAAAATCATATGGGCATGGGAAAATATAAAGCTGATCCAGTTGAGATAAAAGGGGGCCAAAAACAAACTGGGGAGGTTGGGAATCTCAGGTTGGATCATAACCAAAAAAGTGGCCGGGGACAGGCCGGGAACAACACTTACTCACATTAACTAGGTACACAAAAGCTTGTCTAGCCTAACCAAGGGGAGGGCTCCACAGGAAACCACCCCGATGTGACGTAGGCTTGACCTAAAAGGCTAGCCCCGTTGATCAAGGCTAGCCCCGTTGAAACGAACCTCAGTCACCAACCTTCCTCTGAAGTCGAATGCAATCGTTTTCTAGGGAGGCGTACTCTGGGACAATGGTAGAAGGCAAGCGAAGCCGTTTCTTCCAAACCAAGGCCACACCATTCACAGTCTGGCAAATCCACCAAGCCCTTTATGAAGGCCTTGTCATTGAGAGGCAGCCGATTCCGAGTCAATCGCCAGGTAAGCGAAAACTCAGGGTTACTGAGGTAATCCGCCGCTGGCGCCCAGGACCAGAAAGAGCGAAACTCCTCCTCCTCACGAAGGGAATCCTTCGCGACCCCCTCCACTAAAAGACGATAGAAGACCTTCTTAGGCCGAGAAAGGTCACTGGACCGAGGACCGACACTCGCGAAGGAAATCCGATTGATCCCGGGGTTTACGATGGCGCTCAACCCGCGAGATGGGGGGATTGATAATAAGGCGGGGGAACGCGTCCCTGACAATCCCCTCCATAATCGGATCTCCACCTGTCAACGCGTAGCGTAGGAAAGACAACCTCGAGGCACGCCGGTGCCTCACCAAATGTGGCATTCCCAGCCCCCCATGACACGGACGTTGTGCACAGACTCGTCTCGATACCCGCGTCCCCTCGAGCGCCTTCCGATGGCTGTCACAGAAAGGAAGTACGGACAATCGATAAAGGACAAGAGGGAAAATCTATGTAGCACACACTTCCGCCCTGCCCTTCACGGACAACCTCCGTCTGACCGGTTGCATCGACCTTTGCTCGTACTTCAGACCAATCTTTCTCCAGCTGGAGGTCGGGTCCAAATCACACTCCAAGAATGCGGACAGGACTGCGGATCGACCCCCTTACAGGCACATAACCGCAAGCCGGACGACTTGTCGCGGTCAATCTTGGCCCCTGTCACCTTTTCGTACCGATCAAGCGCCTTCAGTACCGCCTCAATGTCGCTGCGGGACGACACGAAAGCAGATACGCCATCGGCGCACGGAGAAACCCTGGCTCGACCTCCTCCAGGAACTGCGAAACCGCGTAGGGCCGGACTGCACGCCCTGTCTCTCAGCCATCGAAGGAGAGGCTCCAACGCCAACGTATAAAGTACAACCCTGAGGAAAACCGGTCGGGGAGGGACCCCTGTCGGAACCAGTTGTTGAACACCACCGTCAAAATCGGGACAAAGTGCGACAGCCTCAAGTACAATTCATAGGGCAAACCATCCAGACCAGGCGACTTGCCTCTGCCGACCTTCTTCAATGCCGCATAGATTTCGCCTTCTGTGATCTCTCCCTCGCAGCTAGCTGCTTCAGTCGGCGAAAGCCGAGGAAAGTCAGCCAAATAGTTGCGAAATTCGTCCTCACGAAGACCAGGCTCCTTGGTAAACCGGCTCTCGAAATGCCGCCGAAACGCCTCGCACATGTCGTCAGTGGCCCGAAGAGTACGCCCCTCCAGGGTTTCGACTTCACGAATGTAACGGTCGCCACCTCGACGGACCTCTTCCTTGCTCAATTCTGCGCCCATATTCACAGCTTCAGAAGACATGTTGCTTAACCTATGTCTCATTACCTGGCCCATGTAGCGATCGCTATTCGAATGCTCCACGGTCTCCCTAGCTAAGGCTATCTCTAGGGGATCCCCCAGCCACTGCCCGGGAAAGACTAGCTCAAAGCGTCTTCACCTTCTCAGCTCTATCTAGGGCGAGCCGTTTGCTGAAATCCGTGGTGAAAGACCCAATTCTACACTTAAATCGATCCCACCACTTATTCCCGATAACCGCCCCCACTAACTTCCGCTGCACTAAGCTAGTTAGCTGCTCCTGGAAGTCCCGCCTGTCCAGCAAAGACAGATTGAACTTCCAGTAACCAGCCATTCTAGGCGTATGATCTAATGCCATACGGGCACAAACGAGTTTGTCGTCCGTATAGCCAACCCAGTGGAACGTGGGACAATCTAACAGATCTATGTCGTCTCCTCTAACATTCTGTCAAGGTAGCTAACCACCTTGTCACAAGGCCAGCTAAGAGCCCACGTCCACATTCCCCTCCCTCGTGGTGATCGACCCAGTATATATCAACGAGACCAAAATCGTTGATCAGTTCGACCAAGCTACGACCGCCCCTTCTCCCGCTAGCACCCCGCCCCCGATCTAACTTGGGGTCCAGGACGGCATTCAAGTCCCCCATTAGAACTAAGCGCGTTGAATCCACCAGGAAAGGCCCCAACCGCCGAAAAAACGAAACCCGCTTCTCCTGGTCGCTGGGCGCATAAACCGCATCGATCCGAAACGAACCACTTTTCACGGCAATATCGGCCACGATCAACCGGCCCTCGGCATCGGTATGCACAAGGTCCACCTTCGCATCTAGAGTCCGCTTCACCAGCAAAGAAACTCATCTGGCAACCCGGTCCCCATATGCTGAATAGACGACAAAGTCGTTAGACAGCACACACGCATCGGAACTGCAAACAAAGTGGGTCTCTTCGATCGCGGCCACATCCACGCCAAAGGACAGGAGATCCCGGAGCAGGCGGGAAGCCTTACCCCGATCCCTTCACATTTAAAGTCGCTATCTTGATAGGCATGGTTTAGGTCTGCAAAAAATAAAAAGAGAAAAAGCAAAAAACCTACTCACATACTGAGCGGAAATCTGCAGATGTCAGGACCACGACGGATTGTCCTAGGCTCCCTGTTCCTAGTTCGGTCGTCATACGACCGTCTAAGACAATACCGCCGACGCCTGTGGGGTATGTTAGTTTGATAGCCCTATATAGAGAGGGATGGATCAACACAGGGACCCTCCCAGAGCAAAAATGTCTTAACTTTTTCAGATTGGCATTCTCCTGCTCGAAGACTCTCAAGTTGGTATAGGCCTCCTTGGCCTCAAAGAGGTGGCTCCAAACTTTGAGGAAGCCCCCAGTATCCCTCACTAAGGTAATCACTTCAGGGGCGTGAGGAAAATTCCGGGGTCCTCTACCGACTTGCCGTCGACCCTGTCCATTTTTAGTAAAAGTCCTAACGGGGCTCGTTTATGTTTGGACATGTTTTTCTTGACTTCCTCCCGGTCAACCTTACAAATGGCTTCGGGTCCCGGGAAGCGTTTTTTTTTCTTCTCCCTTGCTGGGTGGGGAGGGGAAGAAGTGGATGTATGAGGAGGTGGAGATGGAGCTGAGTGAAGAATTTGAGGGAGAAGGGGAAAGCACGGACAGGGGCAGCAGAGTGGCCCCTTGTTGGGGCTGTTAAATCCTGGGTTTGCCAAGCAGGGACGGAAAGGGACCTGGTTTTGTCCATGTGCCTCTCCGCCCTACTTCGGCCAGCACGTTTTTCCACTGGTTTTACGTCATCTTCCTCCTCCCTACTTCTCTTCAAAGAGGCAGTACGTGGTGGAGGCATTTCCTCCACCTCCATTTCCGAATCGGAGTGTTGCTTCTGTTTCTTCTCTGCTTGTCGT